ATGTGTAAACAACTGGAAGATGCAAGTACTGTGCATAAGTAGGGACTTCTACCTTTCAACTGAATTCAGCATGCCAAGAATAATGAACTTAGCAAAGACTTGCCTCCTCTTTGGTTGCTGGCAGCACGGGTTCATCTGCAGTCCTGGCAAGACGCGTGTACGCATCAAATGCAAGCACTGATGTCCAAAACTGCCTTTCTGGGCGATACTTAGCAGCTACTTAGCAGTCTGGTCAGCCAAAACAAATATCGTTGAATCTCAACGTTGCCAGCAGGGCGGCCAAAGCCAGGTGGCTGGCTCCGCATGTGCAGCTTCTGGAACAGGTCTCTTGGTTAAACCTGTTCAGGGAAGTCATGGTCATGCGTCGCTGTGAAGAACTTATCCTGTAGGGCGCTAGGTTGTCGACCCTGGCTGGGATCGAAATGTCGGATCCAGAAACGTACGCCTGCCTGTCATTTCAATGCAAACATGATTCTGATCTGCTGCAGTCATACTTTATCATCTTGCAGCAGCATTCTTGACAAGCCTCCTCATCTGGAGTCTCATACCCAATGCGAAGCCGGAATTCCTGCCGAGATGACATGTAGCTGCCTATCGATGACTTTTCACGTTTTCGCCAGTTCCAGAAATCTCATGCATGCTGACTCAGACTGCAATCCCGCAGGTGAATGCTTCGGATTAAACAGCTCCCAAGCAGTTCAGCAACTGCAAGACCACGCCCGTCACCGCATCTGGTAACAAATCACGTTCTACGTTCGTAGGCCAGTGATGGCTGGTGCTGATCCCGGTTGCGCCTTGATCAGCCACTTCAGTGCAGGGAACCAGCCACCCAAACGAAGGTTGAAGTCGCGCCATATGTCCTGGCATGTGGCCCGCAATATTACTGCTTGATGCTCATCTGCCGAGCCCAACATCTCTGGGATTCTTTACCCCATGGGATGGGACAAGACACCAGCGTCGGGCACGGGGAGGTGCCTGAGGTAAGGCCAGTCTTATAACGTATGGTTTCTTTCGGATAAACATTTTATGAAGGTGATTGACGGTGCGAAGGAGGTACCGATTCTTTGAAGTATCCGGGCGGCAGGAACCTTCAGGAGCTGCTCCATCAGTTTCAGACTTGCCCTATGGAACAAATCGCATGCATGGCCGAATCCCACACAGTAGCTCCTCATTGTGTGGGCGCTGCAGAGAGCTTGTTGCCTGCAGGAAGTTCACTTTTGAATGCTGTCGGCCTGCCGTTTGCTAGACAGCAGGCTTTGGAGTTGGGTGTGTTCCCCTGCTTCGTCCCATTTGCGCAGGATATGGGCACAGTTCGCTTTCGCAAGGGCAGATCTGGTAAATCACCATGAATGTCGAATCTCCACAAGCTTTCTGCCTGACCCTTTCTTGGAGACTCGAATTGAGGCCACACTCGAGAGGATCGCTCCTCCTTGGCAGCATAGTTTTGAAGGCGTCCATGCTGTTATACAGGGGACAATGGAAAAGAAAATGGAAACTAATATACTATATTGGGGTTTTATGTTGGGGTTATGTAGGACCCAGTAATACCCTGCATGTCTTGTAAGGCATCCGCTCTGATCATAGGCTCACTTGGCCGACGCTAAATCTTTGGCGTACAGCATGCTGCAATGCTGAAAAGGCCGGAAGCATGCAGCTTGCATAAATTGCCGTTTTGCGCTTAGAGGTTCAGAGACTGACAAAAAACTTTGCGTAAGGCAACCAAGAACCCTGGACTAGGGGTCAGATTTGTCTCCATCACCGCTACTTGGCACTGGCCAATGTTTCGCATGCCACACATGTTGTGCACTTGTTCAACAGGCGTACGCCTATGGTGCAAGCGGCGAGGCCCAGCGCAAATAAATTCGCTATCGTGACGTAAATTCGACGTGTGCAACTGAGATATGTGCTGCAAAAGTCATGTCAATGAGACTTGCATGGTCTCAAGCACCTCCGATTTTCAAGCTAGCAGCACGCCTGTCTTCTGGCCAGGGCAACACACATCGCTTTTTTCGCTGCCCAAGCCTGGAGCTTGAAAGATCAGAATTTACCCGCGGTGTCCTCCATTGCTTGAGGGCAGCTGCTGAAATCAGGCTGCAAGGCTTTGCTCGTGCTGTATGCACTTCCCAAAGCCATCCTTCGCACTTCGCCGAGATAATGCAAGGCTGCTGCAATTTTGCTCTCCATCTAAGTCCAGCGGAACGAGAAGTGCAAAGGTATTGAAAGAGAGTTCTGGGCAGTGATGATCGTCCTGGCCTTTGCCAACCTGAAGGCTCGCGATGAAATACATTCTCAAAGCTCTGTAATGTTCGGGACCATCATTCTGCCGTGAGCGCTACGCTAGCGAAGAAGTGCCTCCATATGGAGGCCGGTGGAAATCGTCGACGGAAGTGACACAAAAGCCTGTGTTTCAGCACGTTCCAGCGAACTCTCTCAGCGGGAGCTTGAGTCTCGAATTACTCTTGACTTGTAGCAGCTTCTATACGCGCATATAGAGCTTCTAGCCGTAATATGCATGTCAGACGTGTTCCATTGCTCTTGATTGGAGTTCCCGAGCCGCGGACCTGCTGGCTCTGCATTACGCGTCCTGCGGGCGAAGGCGTCTAAAAGCGTCGAAAGGCTGTGAAATGTTGATCCAAGATCGGTTGCTTCAGCACCCGAGGAAAGCCAGTGTTGTGCAGTCCTTCTTCTTTTTCTTCTTTACAGGTGCCTGCCGAACAAAACTAGGAACCTGAAGCCAGGAACGCTTTGGTCACACACCCCCCAGTCTGAGCTGCAAATATTCAACTGCAATTGCAATGGGCCCACATACATCGGACTCGGCCTAAACTACTGTTTACAAAATGGTGGAAATCCATATACTGGGACCCGTAATACAACAGGAACCCCAGTATCGGGCCCCGTATTATAATGATCTTACAAGTAAGACTAGTACGCACATGCGGGAAACGTCCTCTCTAAAATGCTATTGGCGTAAACGCGAGATAGAGTCCAGAGTCCACGAAACCAAATACGTCACCCACCCCACCCCACCCCACTCCCATCAGGTCCTCCTAGAGCTCTCCCCATAACCTCCCTGTAGGAGCGCTCACTAGCGCTTGATGAGGTTTGCCGTAACAAACGCCACGAATCCGACCCCTCAACACTTGCAATGAGAACCTTTCTGCTACAAATTTGCGAGGAAATCTCGGACTCGGATGCTGTGATTTACTGAGGTCACACATGACTTCAGTATGAAAACGTTGCCGCTGGGAGCTTCTGGTTTTGGTCCACTCATCTGCCTCTTCCGCAGGCTCTTCTGCCTGCCATCGCACAGGTGTTAATACTACAAGCACGCTGCAAAATTTGTGGCTGACAAGACACGCGTGCGTGCAAGCAGTGGCTTTTCTTCCCACAGTGACACACCGAATGACCTCCCCTTAAGGGAAGCAATCTCACTGTGGGCGCTTTCAGCAACCCATCAGCACGGCTCCCAGCTCTTTGATTTCATCAAGCACTTTTCGGACTTCTTGCCGAGTGATTTTATTCTCATATCTCATTCTTGCAAGCTGCACGCTTTGTGCCGGACCTTGCAGCTGCATGCAGCCCTCGACAAATTCTTCAAGCGAGATTTCGCCACTCTCGTCTGCGTCCAAGACCCTCGGCTGTTGCAGATAGGCAACACTGCCTGCAATACAACATGATTTGCAGAGAACTTCACAGACGACTGGCCCTTGAATGTGAACAGCCTCGGCGTAAAAACGTTTTCTTAGAACTTTCAAGTCTCAGACCCTACAATCCTCTGGAATGTGCAAGCTGGATGGAGCATTGCAGCCCCTCATCTTCCTTGTGCGGGAAAACGCAACAAATCCATTTACAAGCCGAAGAACATGAACAGCGTCCAAATATCTTGAGTCGCAATATCCATCGATTCCATAAAGCTCGCGAGCTTCTTCTGTGACAAGGCTTCCTGCAGCATCGAATGTGTGCGTGTGGGCAGTGCTGCCTGGTCACGTAGCAAGAAAACTTCGTCGGTCCTCCAACTCAATGAAACTTATCATATTGGACGTGTCCGCGTCAATCTCCCGGAAGACGCCTGCAAACAGATCCTAGTATATCCTAGTCTTAGCTGCAATCCAACTGCAGGAAAACCACGCGTTGGGCCTTTCAAAGTTCTTAACTGGCTCTGATGCCATTGCATTTGCTTCATGATAGCAATCTCCTCACATGCTTTGCAGACTAAGACAAGTGTGCGTGCAATGCATTGCAGAGCACGGAGCCGTTGTCCTTGTCAGCTTTTGCACTCTCAATGGCATTGTTGCAAAAGACCTGCATCAAACGCGCATGCAAACAGGTGCGCAGTGGCGCTCCCGCTTTGCTCACTAAACTACTTATGAAATGCGCTGTTCATCTAGTTTTCAAGTCTGATCTGCATAACGCCCGAAGTGCAAGGAGAAAGACCTGTTGCTCTAAAAAATTAGGATGACCCTGAAGTTCCTTCAGGCTGTGCTGTAACGAGGATGCAAGGGCTCAAGCAGAAGGGCTCGAAGATGCTGAGGCTTCGGCGCCAGTGACCACATTTAGAATTGCGAAGATTGTGATAAAAATGTATAGCAACATCATCGCCGCTGCAATCTCGGAGGCATCTCGCAGAGGCTCCAAGGCTTCAACCCAACTGACGCCACCGGTGATGGACATGAAAAGTGTTAGCATGCTCTCTGGGACAGAAGACCAGTATTGTTTGAGCACCGGCGGGCACTCAGCCACGGATGATGAGTGGTATCGACCTTGAAGGCGGGCATTCCTATAATTAGCGCTTCCAAATTGACAGCTGGAGCTTTATTGCACCTTTTGCAAAGGCCTCGCCGTGATGTCTATTCAAGGCGGTCGGCTTGCATGAGTGCAAGCTTCAATCTGTCAACCACTCTACATAATCAATCATATTCCTGGAGGCAGAAATCCTGGAAAACCGAATTGGGGGAGCACTGATTTCATAAAGCTTTGATTCTGATAGTGGACTTCAAGAAACATTATAATAAAACAACCTGAAGTACATGTCATAGAAATTTGGGGTTTGCGTGGTTTCCTAGTCAATTGGTGATGTCAGTAGCTTCACTGTCAGCCACATGAAAAGAAACTACAGGCAATGTAAATGTCTTCCAAAGCATCCGCGTGAGCTTTCATCCTGCTTCTTGATTGAAGCATGAGGCCAGCTTTGAATTTAACTGTATATGCCGCACAGGAGATGGTTCCACTTTGGGGCAGAAATTAGATCTACTGACACTTCAGATTTATTCTGGTGTTTCTTGCAGTTGTTTGAATGTGTCCGCAGTTTGGAGCTTCCACACCAATACATGAACTGTGCTGCATACACAGCTCACAACATCTTGCGATCACGGAAGGACATACTCAACAGATCGCCCCAAAACGTTACTCTGCCTGAAAGGTTTGATCGGATCCTAATGCTGCTGATCGGCAATGGTCTGACACCAGCTGAGCAAGAATCACACCTGAGTTCACAGCAACAGACTGGCATGCTTTATGTCAAAACATGATTCAGCTTTCGGGCTTCAACCTCCAGCCAGCCCCAGTTTACAAAGGGTTTCCTTGACTCTTTGGATCAGGGCAAGGGGTTCAGGCCGCGTGGGGGCAGAAGAGCATGCCCCGCCAAATGCATCCTTCGAAGCGCTGCAGGCATTGGATCCGAGGCACCGAAGCAGTAGAAAAGCAGCACCAGCAGAACCAAAGTCCACACCAAAGACCACAAGGTGCTGAGGATCGCAAAAACAATTGACCGAAGAGCCCCTATGAAGCGAAGCAATCTCATGACGCGGACTCCACGAAGGGCTCGCCCCAGCCGCACAAACCGCATTATCCGCAGGTGGCTCGAATCCATGTTGCCCACAGAGATTGCGGATGCAATGACCTCTGTGATCGTCTCCATGACCGATGCAGATATAATCGAGAGGTCAAACACATTCCACCACTTGTCATTACCACAAAAAAATTCTCTGCAGCCATGTGCAATAAATTTCAACAGAATCTCTGTCACGAAAATGAAGACAATAAGCACATTCAGCGTCTTAAACCATTCAGGGTCTTCATCTGGCGGCAGTGAAGAAGCAACATCCACTTCAATCCCGAGCAGCACCAGATTAATGAGGATCAGAAGCATTATGCCAGCCTGGAAGAGATTGGAAGAAACAATCACGTGTGCAATTGCACTGATGCATCCCGCTTGTGGTTGGGGTTCATGATGTCCACCAGAAGTCAATGTTGCAGACCTGGCTTTTGCAAACGCCTTCTTCTGGTGCTCATTGAGTCGGGCTTGCAGCTCATCATCCCAGAAGGGATCACCTCGCTGGTATAAACTGTTCCGGGCCTTTTTCTTGGAATGACATAACGGCCAATGACTTAGTCTGGGCCTGTGGCTTTACTTCAAGGCTAACAGTACATATTCTTGCAAAGGGAACGCCCGCGGCCCGCATCACTGGTCATCAGGTTCTAACTCGCGCCGCCTGACTGCTGAATTTATCACAAGAGCAACTTGTTAACCAGTCCCACCTGGTTCATAGAACTTGTTGGGCTCTTTATAGTGGTCCTTCTTGTCATCAGTTGGCTTGGTATGCATCTCGGGATCATCGACTCTTGGCTCATCGCCATCGGCCGGAGGGGCCTTCTTTGCAGTTGGCGATGGGCGGTGCGCAAAAGAAAATTCGCGCAGTTTGTGCTCATGAAGTGGCGCGTCTCTTTCGACCGCCGATTTTATTTGCGAAGACAGCTCTTGAAGTAGATCTGCCTGCTTACAGAACTCTGCCTGTATGAAGCTTCGCAGTTTGTCTTCTCTCTGTGGGCCCCCGCCAGCTTGATTATCCAGCGAATCCAGCGACTTCGCAGCTGCCCTCTTCGAAGGAGAGACGTCCATGTCCATACATCCCTCGCGCTCCATGATCAACCTAGGACTGCACTTGGGCCTGAATGGCTTTCGCGCTTTGGATCACGCAACATACAGACTCTCTTTGGTCTTCACCACAGCGCTCTCGTGGGATCCCCAGCACCCTTGGGGGTGTTGAACCATGTAAAGCGGGCGACTAGGAATGGCTCGAAAATGTACCGAGGCGCATGCAGTTCATGCATGATGCCAATGCTGCGAAGCACCCCGAATAAGGACTGGACACGCCTCCGCGGCCCGCTTCTTCTTTCCAGCTTTAGCTGCCTCAGAGCTGTTGATATTTGCGCAGCTGCATGTGGCCGAGAAGAGCTGCTTACAAACCCAACAATCTTATCTAATGTCTACGTTTCTGCTCAAGACTCCAAGGGACAACGTGCCTACTTCTGAGACAGGTACAGCTTTGAGAGCTTCATCCATCTCTGCCTGAGCTTCTTCACTTGTCAGCTTCGGAAGGTAGCTCCACCTCGAGGAATTATTCGTCAAAACAGCACTGCGAATCCCACGACAAACTTCTACCGCTGACCATGTGCCCAAGAATACCGCGCCTTCCTTGACCTAGCAGCCATGCTTTCGGCGTGTTCTCGTTGGGCTTTCCCTGTTGCGAAAGGAGAGCTCAAGCGGGTGTATCGATCAAAAACCAGGTTATTCATCTTTGGTAGAGGCAGACTCTTTTGCTTCCGGTGCCTTCTCTGTCAGCTTCCCTGCAAGGATAAGCTTCTTCTTATCACTTGAGCGTGGGCCATAGCCCCATCGCCTGGCACATAGGGAGTGGACCATGCGGTGAATGTAAGCGCCTACCCAGCAAAGGGCAGAGCTGGTCTCACCAAATGAAGTTTGGCGTTTCTGGCTTTGCTAAGTCTTGGGCATATTGTAAGTATCACGCTCCATGATGACACGCTTGATCACCTGAGATGTTCTGGCAGACCGGGCAAGGGAATCTTGACAGCTGCTGAATGATCTGAATGAGGTGGGGCTCAGCGGATTTTTTGTTGCCACTCTGCATTGAGTCGGCAAGGGCATCTGCACAAACATCCCCAACACGAAGGCCCTTCCTAGCTAAGGCAGATGTCTACGTTGAAGTGAAGTGGAACGGAAGAGCTTCCATGCCGGGCGCCGGCCGCCAACCAACCACATTGACATGCCCAACGCTGTGGGTCAGATGTGTGGAACGATGTATTAGTTCAACAACACAATGTATCTTCACAGATGAAATATGACCAACACTGATACTTGCCCTCCACAGACATAGACCTCCACTGCACAAATCAACTGACCGATGAAATGCACATGCCGACCGCGTTAAGGGCAGCACTGCTACAACGCCATGATCGACTGAAGCGATCACCGCAGTTGTCATCTGCGCAATCCCTGTAGCGATAGCCTGCTCAGCAAACACCATCCCAGATTGACAAGTGGAGCACGGTAGCCAAAATGAGTAGCGCATTGCATCATCCTGTAAAACCAAGAGGGGTGCCAGCAACTCACTTGACACCTTCCCTGGACAGTACAGAGTCAAAGGACCAAATTCTTGGTCTATCATCTTCCAGCATGGGGGAGACCAACAACTAGCACACAGGTCTTGACGTTCGGGCACGCCCACGCGCCTCCCCCTTGGTGGTCATCATGACTATTTCTGAGCCCACCTGCAGGCTTCAAGCGCTTGAGTAGTAGTGCGAGGGCCATCTTTTTTTATCTTGTGAAATCAACCCAGTCGAATCTGTGATAACACAGTCTTGGAACGCGTGACCCCGCAAATTGTGACGCTTCTGAGGCAGTACGCAGCGTGTGCGCCTCTATTTGCTGCTCAAATCGCAGGACTCCGGGGATCATGAGCTGCGCCCCGTAACAAATGGCGTTGACAGCGCTGTCCTGCAGGATTGACATGTGCCCCATGCGTTCCTTGAATACAAGGAGCATGGCATTGCTCGTCCTTGACCACAATGCGGGGGTAGTTTGTAAGTATGAGCTCCAAGGGCATGACTACCCGGCGCAAGTACTTCTCGTCTCGCATGTTATTGTACCTGTCCATCACCGTACATGTGGAGAAAGCTCAGTTGAATCTCTGCAGCACATTTTGATTATGCGCAGCGGTGACTCTCGCTACTGTGGTAGGATGGAAGCTTGAAAGAAGTCTAAACGCTACGCTCAGCTCTTTTGAGGTCACATGTACTGCGCGTCCAGCACGTCATGCATCCTCAGCTGCATCAGCAGATTAGGATACTGGGACCGTCCAAGCAACAAGACTTATGGCATGTCTGCAATCTCCGTATCAAAGAGAACTCCCTGCTGTCAAGCATCGTGGACATATACTTGTGCTCATCTAACACACCGGACCTGTTTCGCCGGAGCTCCTTGCAATGTACGCTGATTCGTACAATGCGAACATCAAATTAATACCCTGCATGCATTCAGGTACGCAGACGTATGCAGTCACTCATTTGTGCTGCCTGCATGTGAGCACCAACGCCCAGCATGAAGCCAAGATGAACGCAAAGCGTTCTGATGTAGGTTCCCGCCTGCAGTGGACTTTCGTAAACATTGGTTGCGTGCGCCATGGAGCAGATATGAGTTCGAACACTCAAGGCGACTGGTGGCAGTCAGTCTCGAGCCTCGCAGGAGGCCCAGACAACTGCCATCTGTCCTCAGAGTTTTCAGACAACAGAAGAATGGATACCTGGTCATGCTGGAGGTGCAGCAAAGAGCGAGCGCAAGCATTTGGGCCTTTCCTCTTGCACCCAAGCTCCAACTGCACTGGAGCCAAGTACTTTGCAGCTATGAGAAAAAGCGAACAAAAAAGCCTCCAAAGTCAACAGATGCAGTCACAACTCACAAAGCAATTTGGAGATCCCAGAATGACATCAGCGGCCAAGACTCTCTTCGCGTTGTACTCAAGCAACTTGGCCTGCAAAAGCTGTTCAAAGGACCCCCCGCTGCAATGAGTTGACCAGGCCTGTCCCTTTCATTGGCAAACTGCAAACTCACTCATCAAATCATCAAGTGCCATCATGGCAGGCGGTGCAAAGGACTGCAGCAGCTGGTTGCACTGTCCCGGCCTCGTAAATGGTGCCTCAGTGAAGCACAAGCTGCCTGAAATTCTGAGTGAAGGCTCGGTATACCGAGCCAGGAGCGAACCCGCAGCTGCCTCTTCACGGCCGAGATCACGGGGGGCCTGAAGTGGTCATTGGCATCCCATGCATTCCCTTCAGCCGTAGCCCAAACGTGCTCGCTCCTCTGGAAACATGCTCCAGTCAGCTCGTCCAGGGCCTGGAACGCACAATCAAGAGGAGCATGCAAATACCTGATCAGTCCTGTTTGCATGTGCCCGCATAGTCTATCTTGTCAATGCCACACCTTCTGAACCTTTGACGCGCCGCCGACGTCGGAGTGAAATCGAACTACGGCAATGTACCTCGCAGTTGATTGCAGCAAACTTCTGTGAAAATGCGTTGTGTACATGATGTTACCAGCAGAGATTTGAACAGCCGGCTGTAATGATGTGCGCACTCTTTGCCCGCCGATTGTTGGGCTTTCACAAGACGCGTGGCTCGGTTCAAGCACACAAGCAGGCATCCAGAAACCTGACCAGAAACAGTCACACTCAACAGCTATGGCTTTTCGTGTAGCATGCTGTCTCAACCAGGTCCAGGGACAAAGCTCAACACTGGTGGTTTGCAAAGCGGCCTTGGGATCCAAAGTACCAGAGTGGCCGGTCTTCTCGCAGTTCATAATCCGCTTTATCCAAGACACCACCTGGCAAAGCTTCCAAAGCTTCTGAGCTGTTGAGCTCAGAAGCCGCACAAATTTGAACAGAAATGACCAGGACCTCGTGACTGGAAGGGTTCACGGGCTTATCCAAGTTGAGAATGCCGTAGAGCAAATATGCCTCAAAGTCCAGCTATGACAGCTATGCCACGCTCTCGCAGGTTTCTCCAAGGGACGTCCAGTGGCCGCGTCATTGGCGAGCAGCCGAACGGCAAAGGAGTGTAGTGGCCTGTCCTCAAGTTTGGTTCTGTCTCTTTGCTGACAGCTCACGCACATCGTAGCTGATGCTTGGGCGAGCCCTCTCCTTGTCCCTCGGGGAGCCCTAAATTTTGCACCAAATCTGCTGAAGTCGCGCGGAGTGCCACGCATTTTTGCAAGCTCAAGGAGTACATTACCTACATTCAGGTTGGCCGGGGCTTCAAACTCGTACAAGCAATGCAGCGGCAGCAGCAGCGGCGGCGGCAGCAGCAGCGGCGGCGGCAGCAGCAGCGGCGGCGGCAGCAATCCCAGCAGCAATCCCAGCAGCAAAAGCCGCGGTAGCAGCAGTATTCAGCAGTGTTACTTCTAGTTGTGGTGGTAGCATTGGCGGCAATAGTTATGACTTCTGTAAGAGGGCTGGAAGCATGCATGGTGGCACCTATGACATGAACTTCCATAGCAGCAGCAGCACACAATTTGCGGAAGTATGGCTAGGAGCACTGCGGTATTGCCAAAAGCACTGACGGTGGTTCTACCGCAGCAGTCTTGACGTGAGCGTTGCGGCACACGTAGTCGCAATAGTGGCAGTCACTGATCGTTCTGGCCGCAGCAGCCACGGCAACAGTGGTACAGAACCAGCAATAGTAGCAGTGCCAGTGCCAGTATCATTCCCAGGAGCAGTAGCACAAGTAGTAATAGTGAAAAAGATAAAAGACGCTTTAATAACAAAAACAGGATAGTGGGTAATCTTGGCAGTAGTAGTAATTAGTAGTAGCCGTCCTCGTCGTCCTCCTGGAAGTGAGCCGTCGTAGCAGAAGAAGAAATAGTAGGAGTAGGCGCCCCCCCTCCCTACCAACTATGTTTCCCAGATTGCGCATGTTGAAACAAGGTAAAAGCTGGCTTTCGTGGAATGCCAAAAGGCTTTGTAATTTTGTAATGCATGGGGATGCCGGGAGGGGGGATGGGGTGGGGAGGGTGGGGGGGGTGGGTGGGGGCATAGTGACGTCAATTCGAAGACCGCACATGCAAAAACTATTGGCATTTGCCGCATGTTTGATGAGTTTGCCTGGGTGAGGCACGTTCCACCATTACCCGCTTCCCCTTAAGCTCTTGACAGCCCACCCCTGACAGTAAAGGGAACATAGTTGGTAGGGGTGGGGGGGCTAGTAGTAGTAGTAGTAGTAGTAGTAGTAGTAACACTAGTAGTAGTGGCAGCAGCAGTAGCAGTAGCAGTTGTTCTGGTAGTAGTGATCATACAACTAGAAATACAGTGGTGGCATTATTCGTAGTAGCAGCAGCAGCAGCAGCAGTATAGTAGTAGCAGCAGCAGCAGTAGCAGCAGCAGCGGTAGTAGTAGCAGCAGCAATAGCAGGAGTAGTAGTCGTAGCAGCAGTAGCAGTAATGGTAAAATAATAGTTGCAGCCGCAGTGATGTACTACCATTAGTATCTTTGATTAGTAGCATGATGCACGCAACCCATTGTTCGCCCAGGACTTACTGAAACATTGGATCGCTGAACAATAGTACTGTATACTGAACATGCACTATGCTTTCCAGGCTCGTCTCTCAAATGTTGCCAGTTGCCCAACCAGAACTTAGCATGTTGAGTTGGGAGAGTTTGGGGGTTCTCGTGTTCGTGTTCATGGGTTTTCGGGTGTTAGGGTTTGAGCGTTTTGGGGTTAGTGCATTTAGCTCAGGGTTTCTTGAATTATTCATTCCTGGGTACAGAAAGCCAACAAACACCTGAGCTGAGGCTGTCGTACTCGTGCGCGTACAGGCCTGTCTGTGCGCATGTCCTTTGTGGAATCAGCAGCAATGGTTTTTCACGTCTGCTCAGGTCTCGCCCATTGTTGCATCGCAACAGCACCACGCAGGAAACATGCTGATAGGACTTTCGGATATAGAGGCTTACGGTTCCGACCGGCATCTCAAGAATTCCACGCCTGCAACGATGTGTGCCCTAACTTGCGATTAGTGTCATGGAAATGCCACCGGGTGTCCTGTCGCAACAGGTCAAAAAACTCTGCGCCTCCCACAGCCTTTTAACGAGCCAATATGTATATCCCATGGCGGGTCACACGTGTTTGCAGAGGCCTGTTTCAGTTTCAGACTTTTCGAGACTTGGAGCCGTGAATTATGCTCTATGCCCATTGTATCCAAAGTGAGCCCAAAGTACGAAAAACATCGACTGAGATTGGCAATATGCGCCTGGAATGCGCGCTGGCAGTTTAGTCGTGAGGTCACACTTTTGCAGTACACCACTGACATTGCTTATGAAATTCACCGTGTGAATCGCTGCACCACTACTACTTTGCCGAAATGTCTGGAATTGTTTTTACATGTCATTATGCTAAGACAGCAGGACCCCCTCAGGGTTGGGGGCACGTGGGGTCCCTTGAAATAGGGGGCATGCCTGTTCTAGTGCACAAACAGTGAGAGTCCCACTACCACGATTCCAGAGCCCCACTGCGTGAGATATAGCGCTCTGCTCAGACAGCATGGCGGGATAAGCAGGAAATTGGAAGCCGCGGGGGTACCGGTGTCTGGCATTGGCCAGTGCCAGGAGAAAGTGTGGGAGTAGGGCGGTCAAAATGGCTCTGCTTCTCCTCTGGAGGAGTTAAAGAGGATCGCTGGCCAGGGGTTTGCATAGCTACCCAGGCTTTGGCTTTCCGTCATTGGGACTCAGGAAAAAGCCGGCTGACGAGGTGCCGATGCCCAGACCAGAAGGGCCGGTGTGGCGTGCCCATAAATCAACAATCAACCCAGCAGCAGGATAATTACTCCTTGTAAGTTTTTCATGCAACATTAAGATGTATTTTAAAGCGGCGAATCTTCGAAGCTGAACCTGAGGTTTGTTACCTGTTTTGTTGCCCCCCCTCCCCCCCCGCCCAACCAACCATACCCCCACCCAACCCACCCCCCCCCCATGAGATGTAACCTGTGCGTTACTGCCCTCACAACGGCA